CAGGCGGCAGCAGGAAGCGGAACTGAAGTTAATAGAAGAAGAAACTGTGAAAAGGGTGGAGGAAGCTATTAGGAAAAAGGTGGAGGAAAGCTTACAATCTGAGGAAGTTAAAATGGAGATTCGAAAGAGGTTAGAGGAAGGACGGAAGAGGCTTCATGATAAAGTTGCGGCTCAGCTCGAGAAGGAAAAGGAAGCTGTTCTTATCGAGGCAAGAGAAAAGGAGGTGAATGTCTTATCATGCATTCATTTCTATAAGTGTATTAAGTCCAATGTTCTATGGTTGAAGAAGCCTTATCATGCATTTCTCTATGTTCAATCTTATCTTGTTATAATAGATAATAATAGGTAATCTTTACAAAGTTTAGGTTTGTTTATAGAATATGCAATGATAAGACTTTTCAAGTGGGATCTTGACTTCTTGAACAAAAAATACTGGTTTTTTCTGTTATTTTTGTATTCGATTCCGGTTTGGTCTTAGAGAAATTGTACTCATTCGGTTTTTTATATCAGGTTCGGTTTGGATACAGGGTTACATGTTATTCGGTTCAGTTATTTGGTTATTAACTGACAGTGCTTACCCACATATTGTTCTAAGTTGAAACTTTCTAACAAGTTTTATTTCGCCTCTCAGAAGTAATGAACATGGAAATTTGTTGTATCGGCATAAATCTGCTCTGAGAACGCAGGGGTAAGTCTTTATTTAACGGGATGCGGTGGTTGATGCAGGAGCGAGACCGGAGGAAGAGGGAAGAGATGGAGAGAGATGCGGAAGAGAGGAGGAGGAAAGAGGAAGAAGAAGAGAGGATAGAAGAGATGGAGAGACAGAGGAAAGAGGAGGAAAGGTATAGAGAGCTGGAAGAGCTTCAGAGGCAGAAAGAAGAGGCGATGAGGGGGAAGAAAGCCCAAGAGGAAGAAGAACGGCTCAAACAGATGAAACTTTTGGGCAAGAACAAGTCTCGCCCTAAACTTTCCTTTGCCCTTCTTGCCTCCAAATGATCTTTTGTTTTGTTTTTTTATAAACTCTTTGTATTATTTCTATTATTACTGTTATGATTATTATGTTTTGTTTGTCTACTTCTTTTGGAACACCGTATTATACATTACTTTTTTGTAATATTATCATTATGTTCTCTTGTTACTGATTTTTAAACCCTTTCTGCATGCATTTAAATATTTCACGTCAGAAATGAATTCAAATAAATTACTGGGAGAGTTTATTTTTCATTGGGTGATTTAGTTTATATTGGATTCTGATGAAAGAAAATCATTATTTAAAAGTCTTGATTTTTCCTATCGTTTTTACATTTCATTCGAATTTATTTTTAAAATTTATCCGTTTGACCTTTTATATCATATAGAATAATAATACGTTGTTTGGTTTAAGATATCGTATGAAAATGCCCAATCCCAAGACATTGCCATATGTTATTTAGTTCGAATGGATTTGGATTGTATCCAAATGCCCAAAAGCAACAGAGAAGTGATTCTTCACCATTTCAGGATACTAACGTCGTCGTTCCATACTTCACTTTCCATGTTTCCGAACTATTGCTCTGATTCAGTATTAATCTCATCTAAGCTGTACAAACAAAACCCAGTATTTCTATTCTTACCTCTCTGTTGGTTTGAAGCGACGACGAAATCGAGCTTAGATTCTTCATCTGTGAAACATCCCCCCTATGTCACATATACCCCGATGAATTTATGAGCCCTGTTCCGAGATTTGATCTGTTTGATTTTCGATGCGGAAAAGATCGATAAGGATTTTTCGGATTTCAATCCTCATCCCTGAGGCTTCTTCTGGTCTAAACCAATCCTTGTCAAACTGTATATGGAAAAAAAAAAGAGAGAGAACAGGTGTGAGAGGGAAAAATAAAACATGAAGAGGATTTCGAGGTTATAACAGAAGCAGATACCATATCCAGATCCTTTTTTTTCATCCTTTCGGGAGCAACTTCCACGAAACGTTTCATGAAAAGGAGTACAAAGAGACCGCAGTCATAATCGTTCTTCTGTTGTGGAACCTGATTGCCAAAGAATATAATAAGATCCGATGAATGGATCAGCCCCCGATTTTTGTAATCTTTAGTGCAATATTTGGACCTAACTGGGAACGGAACAGGCGAAATTTCAAGAGAGCGCTCGATGAAAATTACTTGAACTAACCTCTATTTTAGCTTCAGTTATCCGGATTGGTTTATCCGAGGGAGAAGCATCACCTTGTTGATTAAGGTAGTTCCATTCTTCTCTCAGAAACCTGCAACAACGAATTGTGATCTCCTCGCATTGAAACGAAGCAGATGCAATAGAACGCCGTAACTGTATACAAAATGAAGGTAAAAATCATTCATAGCAATTTCCTTGCCTCTCACCTCTTGACATTGTCAAAAATTGATTTTCTCGAATGAATTCCTAATGAATCCAAGTGGAGTATAATCAATCCCGATTCATAGTCTTCCTTGTCGGGGATGCAAATGATTACCAGGCTCCAATGGACACTGAAACAAATTTAGAGAAAAATAGTAAAATCCAGATGCACTTCTAGAAACTGATCCAACAATTTGTGCAGCTAAGAGAGATTTACTCCGAACTAAAATAACCCTTTTTTTTTTTTTTGCAATAGATACCTGTTTTGAACACAAAATTTTAATTATAGGGCTAAAAGATAATACTCGGAAAAATACTTACGCTTCATGTATTGGTATAAATATATATGCCTTATGGAATAGATTGGTACCCTTCCACCACCGCCTGAACTTCACAAAAAACGCATCCTTGTCATTCCCCTATTGTATTGGAAGGCAAAGACGAGTGGACCAATTGGCATGAGTAGAAAGGAAAAACGCAAACCATAAATTCATAGATCAGACAACAATTATGATCAGTTAATATACATAATTTTATAAGGTTTGTTGATATTGTTGTACATTATAAATATTTGGCCTAAACCTTCAAATTTGCGCATGACTGCTACTATAAGACAATAATAGAATTTAGACATCTTTAGATCTTGAAACTCAAAAACACCCAAAACAAGCAAAATGCAACAGGGAACCATTGATTCATTTTGTGAAGACGAATGGAAAAAAATCAGGAAAAATAATTACCTTGTATGAAACAGCTTGTATGAGCTTCTTGTAGAAATAAGTATTAAAGAAATGACAATCAGCAAAAGTTTTCTCCGAAGATGTTTCATGCTGCAAGTACCTAGACAAATGACAGGCACAATAATCGCATAAAAACCATGTTATTCTCTCACAGAACATATGGCAAAGAAGCTCAATGTAGCTTGATGGGAATGGTGCTCGTATAACATAGGATAGAAAACGTAAATATGTAAGCATATCGCTCAAACTCACTTAATGTAGAAATTCATAACCGTTGATGTTAGATAGCCTTGAGGCGAAAGGCATTCAATATCCTTACGGCAAACTTGGACAAAATCTGGGTCATCCCTAGATCACAAGATGAAGTGAAGAGAAAATGTATATGTTATTGAGGATGGCAGTAAGTAAACTGAGACCAATTATATGATAGATTTACCTTGATGGGTAGTATATATCTTCCTTCATACTGCAAATTTCACCAAAATTAAGTTATTTCCAGCCAAGTCACATAATGAAGACAAATGGAATAACTCGTTTTTACCCTTCAGGAAGCTCAACATGTAGCTCTTCAATTGTTGAAGGTTGAGGTTCCTCTTCATCCACGTCAATGATCGCCTTTGTTGATCTCTATAATGTTTTTGAAGAATATTATTTTTTCAGTAAGTTTTCTAAGTACAGCATAGGAAATGTGAAAGAGAAAGTAGACGAAACATTAAACAATCCAAAGAAATGTCATGACCAGCTTTGATAGTTATTCCTGTCAAGTAGCAAAACTTTTTTAACAGAAAACACACACAACCTATCAAGTGAATTTATGTTCAGATAGGAATTCCTTCACACGAAATAATCAAATAGTCAATTGGAAAATAATAACAGAAGTGTAAGAAAAGGTGCCAAGCTACTACCAAAGTAAATTTCCTAGAGGCGCTATTGTTTGTGCACAAGAATGTAACTTTAAGATGGGTGATAACATGGTAAGCTAGAATACCTTCCTGAGCCTATAACTCCATGATTTTGATTCTTGAAAGGTGCCCTCCCTGTGCGAGAGTGATAAAGAGATGTCAATACAACTCATTCTCTTATGTACAATCTTTCTCTTTTGTTCAATGAAAGTTGATCAGAATCACATGGTGGTCATAGATGAGAATAAGATCCACATGGTGGGCATAAATGAGAGTAACCAGAAATCTTAAACTAGAAATCAATGCAAAAATCTATAAAGCAGCTGCAGACTGTACCGGGTACAGTCAGAAAAGGGGAAAGGATACCGACCTAGGAGTTTCGTGGTCAATAAAGTCATCATCATCATCAATGAGAGAATAAGGGGAAGACTCCTTGGGCTTCTTTTTCAAGCAAGATTCCTTGGATTTATGATTCCCTTTTGACTCCATAACTTTCGCAGAAGGATACTTTTCACTCGGTTGCAATTGCTCTTGCCTTGACAGCAACCGCCATCCATTGCTTCGCCCTGGCGGTGTTTCTCCATTGGGTCTGTGTTTCCAGCTTTCACATCCCAAATCTTGTAGTTCTTTCTCAAATGGTTTCACTGACTCCCTATCTGTCTGTTAAAAATGGATGATCAATTTGCAGGGTGAAGTAAGCATCTAAAAGGTTTAAAGCGGCAGATTTCAGAGGCACCATACTTCTGGCTTTTTACTAAAATAAGCAGCAAATGTTGACCGCGAGACATCCTTCGAGCCCATATTCCCTTCTCTAAAGACATCTGAAACCAATCAAGAAATGTTGCTGATTAAACATACATCCAAATAGAGGAAGACAGAAAGCAAGAAACACAACACAGAAAATTTAGAACCATATATAATGGGGCAGATATCACAAGAAGGTTCAGAATAGTTACAACAACACCATAAATGATAAAACTACATGAACCTAACCAACTTTATATGTTTAGAAGAGACAAACTCCCACATTCTCCATCAAGAAATTATGATGTATCGTTTCATTGCATATAAAGTTTAGACAAGATAAGATACCTGAGCTTGTAGAATGCATGAGCTTCTGACATCCATCCATATCCTGCAAAATGATCAGGGAATGTACCACAGCATCATACAAGATGAATCTCCTACCATTTCTTAGATGTACTATCTCAAAAGCGCAAGTCTACCAGAAAGAACAGTGAAAAACATTGACGATCATTCGCTTCAACTAGAACAACAGGAGAGGAGCTCTAACAGAAACTCCCACAAACCAAAACTGTATATGGACCCTAAAATCAATTACATAGCCTTCTAAAAAACAAATTTTGATTCCACCAAACATTAAGCTTCATCATTACTTAATTGCAACAATAAAAAAAAACAGCAGAAAACAAAACCAAAACCAAAGGGAAAATTCTAGACCAGGAAGTTCAAGCTAGCATTTTCCCGCATATTGCATCCCCAATTTCTCAGTGGCCAAACAGGAAAAGTAGAAAACAGATTCAGAACATGAAATCCCTATTCTAAAACACCAACCAAAACAAATATGCAATATAACATGCGAAGAGATACCATTTTCGGCCGTCGAAGCATCCTCCGTTGCTTCTCCTCCTCGAGCCGTTCGATTTTGGCACGGATTTTCTCCCCACCGTCAGGTAACTTCGGTCCCATTTTCGCCAGAAGCGATGTCTGACGCTCCAGGACCTCGTCCAGCTGTTGATCGGTAAGAGACTGCTCGCAATCCATCTGTTCATCCACCGAAACCGGCGGAGCTTTGGCCGTGACGACGACCTCCAACTCCGGCAACTGATCTTCTTCTCCTCCACCGTCGCGCATCACCTCCACCCAATCTATGTCAATCTTCCTCTTCTTCATCGAAAATCGCCGAGATCGATAGGGTTTTCTCTGCTCTGAAAATTGCTCCTTCAAGCGTTTTTTGTCGTTCCCCTGACTCGATTCGTTTATCAGATTTTGTGTTCTTTAAGCGTTGAAGTTAAAATGAAAAAAAGCTGACCATTTTCTGGTTAATGAAATCAATCCACAAACGTTACTTGCGTTTGAAACGCCAAGCACGATGAGTTTGCAAAGATTAGAGAGCTGCGGTTGCGTTAAGAGCTACCAAACATCAATTTCACCCTCAATGTACTCCGCGCGAAACAGAAATGAAGAATAAAATATTTATTTTCTTAAATAAAATTACTATAAATAAAATTAACTAGGATCTTTCAGAAATGAGAGAAAAAAATGAATGATTCTTTTTGGTAAAGAAAAAAAATAATGCTCCCATATGTACATAATATATGTGTTTATATTTGTATATATATATATATATATATATATGTATGTATATATTTTTAATATTTTGTATTTGATTTTTAATTTGTGTATATATGTATATATATTTGTAATATTACGTATATATATATATGCATATATACGTATATATATGTATAAAACGTTATATTTGTGTGTATATATATTTATATGTATGTACATATGTATTTGTATATATATGGATATATTTGTATGTGTGTTTGTATGCATGTTTATGTATATATATATATATATATCTATTTGTGTATGTATGTGCATATATGTATACTTATGTATATGAATATATAATTTTCAATTTAGGTATATAAATTCATGTATTTTATGCTGCATCTTTAATATCATTTTTAGTATCACTTTATAACCCACACGTATACATTTTCTTATTTGTATTGATACACTAAAATCTTCATTATCTATGTAAATATTTGTTTAAACTATCATTAATTTTTGCAAATGAAAATTATATTTTTAAAAAATAGATTATATGCATAATCAAAATAAAGATAAAGTTTAACTTTATCATTTTCAAACTAAATTATATAACGTATGCAATTAAAAAAAATTAGAGTTTGGGGGGTCATGTGATAAATTAAAAAGTTTTGGAAAAATATGTTATTTCATGGAGGGCCTTTTAGTAAAAAATAAAAGCTTTGGCAGCATTTGTACATATCAGAAACCATAGGACTGGACTGCAATTTTTCTAGGGTTTCTTCTTCTTCTTCCTCCTCCTCCTCCCATGGCCGAACCTAAGTGCTCCCAACCCAAATTTTTGCTCCGATTTGGCTCCTTGGACACGGTGAAACCTAAGTGCTTCCTTCTTCATTGTTTTGAAGGAGCTGAAAAAACAGTGATGGGAATGCCGGAAGTATCGCAAGATTTGTCATCAGAGATGGAGGTGGATGCTTTCAGACGGCTCTTCCCCCTTCGCTTCTTTGAGCGTCATTTTGTTGAATCTGTCCGACCTGATGCTCGGCCTCTCGGGAAGGCCAGAGATACCGTTGTGAACCTCGGTATCTTATTTCTTGAATTTGAAGTTAGATGGAATAAGCCTTTCCCTTTCAAAACCTTGATGGTGTTCCTTGTGTAGGACTCGTTGCATCAGCAGATGGATCGGCTCTTGCCAAGATCGGTTCAACGGTGAGCCTGAGCTCGTTATTTGTTGTCCCTTAGCATACAGTCGTGTTGCTTTTCATATATTAACATAGTTTTCTAGCCTTTCTTTATATAGACTATGCTGGCTGCTATCAGAATGGAAGTCATGACCCCTTATAAGGACTCACCTGAAGAAGGATGCATAGGTTTTTGCCCGGACCGAATTTTATGTTTGCCTCGTCTCTGTATCGCTTACCCATGACAAGTCTTTGTCTGGTTTTTTGTTATCTTTTAGCTGTCGAGTTCCACATGCCTCCTATCTGTTCTCCTATTGTACGGCCTGGAAGGCCAGCTGAAGCAGCTCCAGTCATTGCAAAGAGGTTGTCTGATACAATTTTAAGGTCAGTGCCCGTTTCATCTTGCTATGTATGCTTCCCTACTTCTCCTTAGGCATGTAAATGCATCTTGATGTTCTTTCTTGTTCTTATTTTTTCAAGATGGTTCGGCTCCTAATTGTATTGTAGCTGTCCTTATTTGCAGTTCAGGAATGGTTGATCTAAAGGAGCTTTGTCTAGTTAAGGGAAAAGCTGCTTGGATGGCATATCTAGTTAGTAATTTTCAGCTCTCCAATATATGTTCTGTTTCAAATTTATGGTTTCTTTTTTCTGTTTCCTTTGTTGTCATTTATTCTGAACTTCTACTACATACAAATATTTTTCATAGGACATATACTGTCTAGATGCTGATGGTGCTCTTTTTGATGCGGCACTGCTCTCTGCTGTTGCAGCCTTTTCCAATCGTAAGATATTCGCTTATACCTCGTCCTTTATTTGTTTGCTTATTGCTCTCTAAAGTTCGTTTGGCTGAAGACCGAGCCCTAAACCCAAAGCCCTTAACAACGATGAGATCCCATTGATCTTCGAGTTAAAAAAGGAGCTAGTTTTCTAACCGGGTCATTCTAACCCATTCAAACACTTTGATAGTGAAGTTATGTCTCGTGAAGCCATGGCTTGAACTCAAGTTATCTTGTGACTGACTGCGTGGCCCGGGATTTGTTCCCTATGTTTCTGGGAAATAGATTTGTTTGTCGTTCTTACAAGGACCGATATTGTGAGTCTGTAATAATCCGGGCCCCTTCCTGATGCTGAAATCTGTTCTTTCATTACAGTGGAAATTCCGGTGGTTGCTTTGAACAACGACGGTAAAATAGTTACCGTTACTGAGGAGGAGGAAGAAGAAGAAGATGCTGCAGCGATGCCCGAGAAGGAAGTAGTGAACAAGGAAAAGAGGAAGCTCAAGCTCGCAAACATACCCTTCTCTCTAACATGCATACTTCACAAGAATTACATCTTAGCGGATCCCACCGCCGAGGAAGAATCGATCATGGACACTCTTGTTACCGTTGTTTTGGACATGTCAGACCAAATCGTATCGATCTATAAAGCGGGCGGAACGTTTCTTGCGTATTCCTCTGCCATCAAGGTGAGTTTTTTTCCGGGTTCTACAGATATAGACACACACATCAACTGTGGGTTATATATATAACACCTATAGATACAGGTATTTTCGAGTTTCTATAGGTATATATAGATATGGAGTGTGTGATTGCTTATAAGAAGGTCAATGGTGGGTTATGTTTTTTTGCAGGGATGTGTTGAATTAGCGAGGCAAAGAGCAAAGGAGCTAAATCAGATCTTGGGGGAAATGGATATTGACTGATTTTTGGTGGAAATTTGAATCATTTTGTTACTCAGACAACACAAAATTTTGGGATAACATGGAACAAATGTGTTTGTGCTTGAAATCATTTTTGCACTTTAGACTAGTTGTGTCCGATTTTGACTCGTGTTTATTTTGGTGGAAATTTCAGTTTGATCACAGGAAAACCAAATCGATCTATAAAAAAAATCGAAAAGTCGAGTATATATAATTGAATAAAATGGAAAATCGATTTTTTTTAATAATAATTTTGTTAAAAAAAATCGAATAGAACTGAAAAAAATCGAACAGAACAAAAATTTTAAAACCGAGTATAACTAAAAATATTCATATTTACTATTTCAATATTAATTTTTAAAATATATTTATCATAATATTATTATCCATATATTTTAAATTTATTTGAAAATAAATAAACTATAATAAATATATTTTTATATAATTGAATATTTTTATTAGTATATTATTGTTAAAGAAAAGCGCGTGGGCTTGTTACCATATTTAATAATAATTTTCAAAACATTAAAGTTAATAATATTAATAAACAATTTAAATATTTGTGTTTTTTAATCTCCTATTGCCTTTTACATCTTTCATCTTTCATTTCATTTGCTGTAATTGTTGGACCATTAACCAAATGATAAACAAAATAGCATTTAAATCATATAATATAATTCATGCACATAAACCATTGTGGGATGATGTAGAAATAATAGAGCACCATCACGTGATTTAAGTGGACTAATGTTGGTTAAAGAGCCTGAAATTTGGGTGATTATGATGTTATTATGTTTTGGAAATATAAGACACAAATAAGTTTGTACACTTTTTTCTTCAAAAATTATTCAGACACTAATTGTGTGAGAGACAAAGAGACCATCAACTGATTTCCCTGTCTCTCTCTCTCTCTCTGATCTTGAAGTTTGGATTTCTTATCAGTTTTGTTTAAATATTGTTTCTCATATTGAAATATTATCCAAATTTGATTCACATTATTACTTACCTTGATTTTGTAATTACTTGTTTATATAAATACTGACATAATATATATATATAAACTCAGTTATTATGTTTATGCAAAAAAATCATTCACTTTAACTTTCTGTTTATAATAAAAAAAAATATAAACAATTATATTTACATAAACTATCACCTGTTTATTTTATAAATTGTTTTTCAAAATAAAAGATAATTTTTTTTATTTTTTTTTCTTAAATGATAAAACTTATGATTTTGCACGAACAAATATAACATATAAAAATAATTTATTTGTGTAGATATGTAATAATTAAGAGTTTTCTTATAACTTTAAATATGTTTGTCAGAATAAAGCTTTTGCTTAGCTTTCAAAACCCATAAATCGGATTCATGTATATACAATGCATGTTTGACACTTTGTGTATATATATATATATATATATATATATATATATGTAGCAAGTGCGATCAATGTCCAATTGCACATGGAATGCATAAGCAAAATGGTAATTAATTAGATATGACGTGGCATATGCGAATGAAGTTCGTTTTTTCCAGTAGGAAATTACTTTGGATATTTTTTTAAAATAAATAACTGATTATTATATACAATCAAACAAACAATATATCGAATCCTAAAGATTAGTTATTAACATGAAAATTACCAATCCGCATTATATGATCCTCTCGAACCCTCAAACTGCAGATTTCAGAGAAATCGATAGCGAGAGCTTTTAGGTGTTATCATTTTTTAAAATTCTCATATGATTATCAAATATAAGTGAAAATATAATATATATTGAGCCATCTTTCTCGGGTTATCGTGTGATCCGCACATTGAACCCATTATGAGTTTGATCAAGAAAAGCTGCCTATATATACATACATATATATATTATCATATCATATCATTAAAGCTGGCCATAATCTTAGAATTCAGAATACCAGAAGATACGTGTACTTTGCTCTGTGACCACCAGTTTTATATATATATATATATAGAGAGAGAGAGAGAGAGATTTGTAATCTCAAATCTTATAATGTGATTAAACCATTATTTTCTCTATTATATGGAGAGAGATGTGACAGAGTGAATATTGAGAGCTAATTTTAAAAAAAATATTTTTTTTAAAATTTGAGTAATTAAACTGGTGAAATGAGATATAAAATGTTTATGATCTCATTCCAAATTCAGATTTTAAATTTTGGGAGAGAATGTATATTCCAAATAATTTGTCTGATTATCGATCCAAAATTAGTTTGGATCTTGGTTTTACACATTAAGTTACAAAAAATAAAAAATCAATATTTTATTTACTTTTTTATTTAAAAATAGGCCAATAAATAAAATCAAATGACTTTAATAAAAAAGATAAATAAAATTTTTCCAGATCTGTACATATCTAATTGTTACTTCTAATGAAAACATTTTAAAAAAACACAATATTAACTTTTTGTCGGAATTAGTTTTATAATGAGTTGAACCTATATTAGTTTACATCAACTCACCAACAGAATCTCCAGTAGTTGTTGGTGCGTTTGCTGATGTAATTCCGCACTGATTCTCTTTGTCGGAAAACATATTGTTGCGATGCAATGAAATAAAAAATATATATATAATTTACGTAAATTTGAACTAATGTAAATACATAAAGACTTTAAATATAATAAACACATGGTTGGTTATAATACATACGAATTCAATATATCGGACTAATTAAGGAGAGTGTATATTATTATTCTATAGGTAGCCAATAACGATTTTCGACGTTGCAAATGACAATATTCCTACGTATATATTTTGATTATTTAGTTCCTTAATTAATTTTCTTTTTATTTGGAAGAAGGAAAAAAAATTAGGGCATCAGTAGAGGAAATTATAAAATGTAAATAAATATATTTATATATGATATAAATATATTTAAGAGTTGGGATCAATATGCACATGAAGCTCTAGAGATGTTCATGCAAAGTCTCATATTCATACACGCATATGTGTAGAAACTGATTTGGAAAATATTTTTACTGGAGACATTAGAGACAGCTGATTAAAAAGAATATAATTGATAGAAAAGCTAAAATATTTTGTTATTATATTTTAAAATTTTCATGAAATTAAAAAACATTTATATATTGAGTTGCCGTCACAAGATTCAAAACCAAACACTCTACATAATGTCTATCCACGTAAGTGTGTCTTTATCCATATCCATAGGGATAGTCTTATCGGTAATGAAAAATTAGTATCAAATAAGAAATTTGTATCTATATTAATTATAATTTTGTATTTTTTTTTATTTTTAGATAGACACTTAAAAATCTATATATATATATATATGCGTGTGTGTGTGTGTGAATGTTATTATTATTACATATATGTACACATGAATTTTCTTCTTTTATATATATCATGTTCCAAAAAAAAATCTAAGTAAACAAAATCATTGCAAAGCATGCATACATGTGCACTTTTGAAGCGAGGAATGATTATAACCACCTGAGATAAAATTTCAGAAATGAATCTTGGCAATTTTGAAAGAAAACACTAATTAAAATTTTAAAAATCGTACATGGAAATTAATTATGTTTTTTTTCCTTACAAAACTATAAGGAGCTCTCATCTGGCACTCGAAAAACTCCGATATGCGTGACGTGGATATTCCTTGCATGGGATTACAGCCACTGCCCTTGCACTTAGGTGTTATATTTTTACGATTGCCACTTTTTAAGGTTTTAATATTTATATATGAATAAAATCTCAAGTATATTTGTTGTATCTTTTGGATTTGTAGCGATTTTTTAGCTTTTTTTTGTAGTTTATTTATTTATTGCGAAATCATTCTGTTTAAAGTTTATTTAACTATTTATTTGTTTGGAAAATAAAATTTTAATTGAAAAAGATGTGAGGTGAAAGGAAATTTACGATAAAAGCGGAAAATATGAGTGGAAAAAACAATATAAAAATGGAGCAATTCGGAAATACAAAAGAAAATAGTATTTAATTATATAAAATCGCTAAAATTGAGGAACTAAAATAATATAAAAAAACTGAATATATGAGTTTATAGAAATCGAAATCCAACATTGGCCGTTTTCTTTTGTTTTTTTTTTTTTTACGATGGAAACCCCTATCCTACAATCCTTCGGGTCGGACACCGGACACCGCAACGTATTGGGATGTACGTAACAGTCATCCTCCCACAGGAGTCTGTGTCTTTTGAACGAAGGAAATATATTTAGATTCGTCATTTAATAAGTTGAGAGAGACCAAAGTAAAGGCTTCTCCAACACCTTCACATGGCATACACACTCATGTGAACTCTCTATTAACCAATTAATTAATTAATTAATTCAATTAAATATAGCCCAAATCCTTGAAACTCAAACTTCTATTAATTAATTAATCTTTTATTTAAAATGATTTTTTTATAGGCTCAGAAAATCTCACCAAAAAGTCCAAAATATGCTCTGGAAACTGCTGGATTTGTGACTAATCACAGGTTATTTAAATCTACGATGTTGGCTTAAATCGTACACCAAAGAACACAATTAGCATCTTAATCTCGATTTGTTGCGTGTCGGTCACCGTACATACGTGATTAGCTCTCAAATCATGTGTATATATATAATATTTATGCAAACGATCCAATGATCATATATTTTTTTATAACGTAGGATCCTTAACTGTTATTTTTCGGATCTACTGACTAGGTAAACATCCGATTCGGGACCAACCTTTGTATATGGATCTTAAACAACCATATTTTTGCATCTTATAGATACACTAAACTACAAATTATTGAAATTTACGGAAAGTTTGAATTTATACCAACACTTCTGTGTTAAATTGTAATATCTTTCTAATTATAAGATCTTGTTACCCATATTATATATTGGTAACAAGACGGGGAAAATAAGAAAACGAATAAATTGCATCTCTAATGGTAAACTATAAAATGGGACAGATATCCTTGTATTATTAAATTTTACGCGTGCAAGCGTGCGTACATACGTACGTTACTACGTACGTGCATTGTGTGCATGTGAGATGATATAAACATCAATGCATACACTTATTTTTTTTTTCGTTAAAAAATGCGTACACTTATTTTATGTTAGAAATTTTATACCAAGATTTTATAGTTAGATTCGAATCTTAATTAATAAAAAAAAAAAACTAAATACAGATCCAACTTAGAAGTTGCATTTTGTTGATATTTGTTAAGCATTCACCAATTCTTAAAAGAATCATAGCTATGAATTGATTTTTTTTTTGTTATAAAAGTTATATATATTATGCTGTTTCTAATTTCCTTTCCAGAAGATTGTGATAATGAAGACTATAGAGTATATAAAAAAAAAAAGATTAGTATAATTCCAGGTATAGTGGACTTGCAATTGGACCGTAGACCTTTGCCCCTTACAACTTACAAGTATTCGTTACGTTTATTTTAATTATCTTAATCCAATGAGATAATGCGTCTTTTATATGCCTGATCACTTAGTTCAGTGACTTAATTAATTATTCTTATTATTAAAATAATATTATCTCGAATACAAACACTTTTATAAAAAAAATAAAGAAATATTAACACCATATATGGACTACTGTATTTTTATAAAATGATTCTAGATCATCGCTCGCAACTAATTTGACTATTCGTATGATCTTTTCAACTTCAATGACTTAGTTTAATTTAAATAATACTCCCTCTATTTCTTAATAATTGACGTCATAAATAATAATTTTTGTTCATTTTAGATTTTTCAGGTAATTTTTTAAAATAATTTCCAGTTTTATTCTTATTAAAGCTATCTAAATCCAATAAATTCAATGTTTTTATGAACAAAATTTAATGAATATTAATTATATTTTAACTATTAAATAAGGGTATATATGAATTTTTTGATATTTTCTTAAAAAAATGAGAAAAAAAAAAGTTAAAACGTTAGTTATTAAAAAACGGAAGGAAGACCAATTTTATCTGTTTCTAGTTACTTGTTATTTCATTCACATGGAAATTACGTTCGGATAATAAGGAGTTTCTATGTGAAATTCTAAAAAATAAAAAAAATTCGTTCAATGTAACTTACATTTCCTAAAAATATTAAAGTTTTTATTTTGATTCAGATTCAAATGTTTTGGAAAGAATTATGAAATTTAACAAAACCCTAGCAATGATGAATCAAATAGAGCCCAAGGCTTTTATGGGTCCGAAAAGATGTGCTGCGTTAAAAGACAAATAAAAAATGAAAAATGTTTATTTATTTTTTTCAATTATTATAGTTTGTAATTTATTGGCCATACTTGAAAATTCAAATTAATCGGAATATCCGTTAATAATTGTCTCTAACTCAAAATTCGAGTTCAAACAATATCACACATTATTATGGTCAATCATCATAAATACCAAACAAAAATGAATGATTAAATCCAACCATATCTATATGTACAATCCTTGTCCAACTATTCACATATTTTAATAGTATTAATTTTTTATTATTCTTTTTGTTTTAATAAAAAAGCAAGAAACAAAATGGGAAAAACATATATGATTATAAACATTTATAACACACACATATGCATATTCATATATACACAAATACATATACATATCTACGTATGTACATACTTACACACACACACATATATATATATATACACATTTTCTAATCACTTTTTAATTTTGTTTTTGGAGAGTGAAAAATGGATAAAAATTGGGCGTGACCGACGCGTATCATACGTTGCGGTGTCCTTGTCCACCCAACCCCTATCCTTCCTCCACAATTTATTTTTCTTTTTTTAACATAAAACGGAACAAAATTGAAATAATTTCTTTTTGTATCCATCTCATATTAAATGAAATCATATGCGCCCATATATGAATGTACTATATATATATATATATATATATATATATATATATATAGAGAGAGAGAGAGAGAGAGAGAGAGAGAGAGAGGGAGAAGAAACAAAGACTATGGAGCAGCAGCCTACAATAGTCATATATATTCTCGTCCTTTCCTACATTATTTTGTTATAAATTTCAAGATTTTTCCCCTGTACCAATCCTGTAGTCATTCGGTCCAACTTGAACGTGTATTAAATGCGACATTGGAAAGTATTCTTATTTTATAAATAGATGGAATTTATATATTTGTGTTCCATTTATGTTCTCGTAATTAAGTAGTAAATATAGAACTAACAATTATATATATATATAAGTAGATAGAATTTGTTTTTCTTTTAACTTCGTTTGATATGAGAAATTCAGTCCTAACCAAAATTGAAGCATTAATCTTTAATTACACGATTCACAATATATATAAACCAGTAAACTATTTATTTTATTTCTTAAAATTAACAAGTTAGATGTCAATGCCATCGGTCCATGGTCCCCGGTGCCGGTAGCCCATCCGCTTTAAGTGACTATTGTATTGTTTCCAAGCAAAAAGAAAATGGCCAATATTAATATTATTAGAGGAAATTGGCGCTAATATACCTTGGGTTTAGGGTCACCCACGGTCAAATCTTCAAAAAAAAAAAAACTATGCGTTAAAATTAACCTAAGTGCCCGTACGATATACTCATAAAAATAATCACAACTTTATAACACATAATAATAAAAATGATAATTATAATTATAGTGATAATATAATTCTGGGTTCCACGTGTTTATAAGCAATGCAGAGTGGTGGACCTTACGTTTACGCTGTCAGGACAAAGACTTGTTTTGTTCCTCTTCCTTCTCCGTTTCCTTTATCTTTCTTCTTCCATCTCAATTTTTTTTAAGGAAAGGAGGAAATAAAAAATCATTTTTTTCCGGCGAAGATGGGGAATTGTCAGGCGGTGGATGCGGCGGCGCTGGTTCTGCAGCATCCCGACGGAAAAATCGACAGATACTACGGCGCCGTTTCAGTGAGCCAAGTCATGAAGATGTACCCTGGACACTACGTTTCCCTGATTATTCCGTTGCCGGAGACGAATATACCGGCGACGGCGTCATCGGACGACGAGAAGAGCCAGAGGGTCGTGAGGTTCACGCGCGTGAAGCTTCTCCGACCGACCGAGACTCTTGTCCTCGGCCATGCTTATAGGCTCATTACCTCACAAGGTCGGTTTGGTTTTTCTGTTTCTGCGTTTCTTGTGGAAGAAGTTAGGTCTTCGTCTTGTGGGTTGTTCTGAAAATGGTTTCTGGTTTGTGGGTTCAGAGGTTATGAAGGTTTTGCGGGCGAAGAAACACGCGAAGACGAAGAGGCACCAGAGAGAGACAACGTTGAAGAAGCAACCTGATCAGAAGAGGGTTCCTGAAGAATCTGAAGATTCCGACAAGGATCTCCTGGTAAGAATATTCTGGATGATTCAGAGTTATGTCCTGAAACAATCCGAATCTGTGAACTACATTCGAACTTAAAATGTTCGGACACTGAAACTGATGCAACTCCAGCTTGTGAAACTAGGGTTTGTGCTAAAAGATCAAATCTTTGCCAAAAAAGATTACTTCTTTTTTTCCTGGGTTTTCGTTTTTTTGCGAATATCGTCGTGTAAGATCGAGATTCCAAGGGAAATTAATCATGGGTTTTCATCAGGAAACGAAACAAGAGAGACAACCACCGGTGCTGACAAGTTCTGCATCATCCAAGTCAAGAACATGGAGGCCATCGTTGCAGAGCATCTCTGAGGCTGCAAGTTGATTTTGATTTGCTTAAGGGACAAGAAAAGAAAAAAAAAAAAAGAAAGTCTCTATATGTAAATCAGCAGATGGATCTGAGGAGAGAAAGAGAGAGAGAGAGAGAGAGAGAGAGAGAGAGACTGTAATGAGTAATCTCTCTCCGTGCCTTCATGTTCTTGCAGAGAGAATGGATAGACGAAATCAAGATCAAGATGGCAAGGGAGATTCTTTGTCTGATGTGTACAGATCCAAGTGATGTTTTTGTTTGATATAAAATTTGATTTTCAAGAATATATTTTTGAACCCGTGAGGCTTTTGCTCTCAAAGACTCCAGTTGGTTTCTTTTTATTCGTTTTTTTTTATACCAAAATTATTCGCAAAAAAAAAAAAAAAGATAAATAAAAAATATCCGTAAAAAGTGAAGAAAAGAACAACATACGAAGTCTTGCCAATGGCTTTTGTATTGTGTGGATAAGTTCACAAGTCAGATTGATTGCGGAATCTGCTAAATCCCAATCAGTTCTTTTCACATTTAGTATCTAACAGCTTGTTTTTATCCAACATCGTCCAATTTTCGACATTCACACTATTCGGGTATCCGAGATTTTCAAGGTATTCGAATCCGAATCTCTTACATTTCGAAGCTCGGACTCCGTTAAAACGTTTCGGATATTAGAACTTCGAATCCATGGGAATATCCGAAATACTCGAATAACATCGGGCTACCCGACCGGTGAAAACAACAGACCGAGCCATCTAAGGCGAGAAGGAGGTCGAGGCACCCGAGGAACAGAGGAGGATGAGGCATGGTGAGGTGTCGAAGGCGAGGACAAACCCTCACACTAATCCTCAATGAATCCGACCCACCATACGGGTACCCGTGGTCTCGACACTCAGATACCCAAAGAGTCAAAGATCGGATTCTCACAGTCCGCACTCGTCCAGTCGATAGGCGAATACCGGATGTTTTGGATACCCGGTTCGCGAAAACCTGGTAAGTTATCCGAAAATCAGAGTTTTTGTGTGTGTGTGTGTGTGTCTAACCCTACAAGCAAGCAAGCAAGCAAGGCTATGGTTGAGTTGGTATCTCACCTAACTGAGGATTTGATTTGGAAACCTAATGGTAACAGTAATAGGTAGCGGTCCATTCCTTTAGAGAGTATCTGCCTTGTCCTGGAAAGCTATGGCCATGAACGTTCCTGGTCCTCCTCCCTTGCCATTAATTATTATTGTCCAAATGATCTGTTCTGTCCGGTCGGAATCTCCAACCAAAAAAAAAAAAACAGGGACATGAACTAAGGTTGAGGAAAATCCATTAATCAAGTTTGGATTCGGATAATTGGGTTCACCCGCAAGTAATTGAATAAACACAGTCAGTATAATCACATTTTCTAATTATTGTGTATATTTTTTTTGAGATATTATATGAAACCCCCCACTCAAATCTCTAGAAATTTAGGTTAGAATTCGGATAATCCAAATCTAACTCTTATTAATACATGTTATCCGAACCTCATCCTTGGTAATTCACATATTATAAAAAAAAAAACTCTTATTAATACATTATAATTATTTTGAAATTTTTTTTTATTTTTTGTATTTAAATCACGTTTACAAACCGAAAATTTTTTCGGCTACTCAACCAAAACGAATCGAAAGATGTTCGAATTCATATTCGAGTTACCCGAAAACCTCAAAATTTTCTCAAAATGACAAAATCATTCTGAAATTCAAGACAGAATATCTACTACGACATTAGAAATATCAGACTTAAAAAGGATTTTATAATATAACCAATTAACGATAACGAAAGAAGCAAAACTTCTTCTTAATCCAGGTTCGAATCTCCATTTAACAATGATATTTACATGAATTTTTCTGATCGTTGAAAGATATAATTAGATTAAAAAATACGATAAATTTTCGAATTATAAAAAAAAAACTAATTTGGTCGCCCACATTTGTTGTTTTGGTATTATTAAGATGCTACTCGTTTCGGTAGTTCAGGTTATTCGATTATAGAACATTTTTACCATTTGATTGTTATCATAAATTCTGTTTTATTCAATTTCGGTTTTGGTTCGAATAAACATGTTTATTTTCTTAATTAATTTTCCAGATTTTTTTAATTCGGTTTATTCATTCTCCTAAAAAGTTTGATTTCTAGGTTTTTGGGGTTCGTTTCTTTCTATGATTCAATTTCAGACCCATGAAAGCAACGGGTGGGTTAGAACAATCCGATGTCTTAACCTGAAGTGTCGGTTAAGATTACAAAAAATAAATTTTTTAAATTAAATATAACTCTTTAAAAACTTAATCCAAATTAATCCGAATAAAATCAAATCTAAACAACCTCAATATACGAGATGAATAATATAATTTTCATAACAATTTAGAAAAAAAATATATTGAACCGAAAATAAAACACAAACCCCAAATGTCACCCCTAATCTAAAGTACATAAGGTGCAGCAAAAAAACATGTGATCCTAAATAATATAGTCTTTTTTTTATAATATCTACGATTTTCAACGGCTGAGATCTGCCGATACAAATATTAATCCCTCATCATCACGACTGTCTGACTCTTGAATGAAACTCTTCTGCTCGAAGACGGGCAAAACAATGGCGTCCTTTGGAATCGCGACGCAGAATCCAGCATTTCTTCGGCTAAGAACCTGGAACATACGATCTGATTCTGCCGCACGATGCAATTCGGTTTCCTTCCGCGGCTCGAATTCGAGTTTCGGTCGGATTAAGCGACTCTCCGTTCGATCCGCTTCAGCTCCAGGTGCGAATCGATTCATATACTGATTTGTATCCCTTTTTGCTTATGTGAACCTTCTTAGCTTCGGATTTCGTTTGCAAAATAGGAAAAACATTGATTGATTCGTGATACCCCTTTTGGTTCTGACGAATTTTTGGTGAATTCCTTAATCTTTCCCTGCAATTCTTTTTTTTATGTTGGTGAAAAAAATATTTTTTCTGATGAGCGAAATAGGGTTGGTATTCGTTCCGGGATGTTGTCAATTTTGTCTGTGTAGCTTTGATTCTGTGAAATTGAACTCTGAAATCATTCTAATTGTCGTGGAATATATATATATATATGTGTGTGTGTGTGTGTGTGTGTGTGTGTATATATATGATTACAGTTTCGACATGGTGAACACAGATTGAAATATAGGCTGATACAGTGCTTATATTTCACTCATCAGTTTGGTTTTGTTGGAGGAGATGAACTCTGACTTGCTTCTTGTTTATGTATCTTAATTTCTCGTACAATCTATACTGTGATGGTTGGGTTTCCATTTCATGAGAGCTGCTGACGGTTCTTGGATTTCTCAGTGACGTCTGCAACCGAGGGAGTCAAGCCTGCGATTTCTCTCACGGATAATGCGCTTAAGCATTTGAATAAGATGAGGTCGGATCGTGGGGAAGATCTGTGCTTAAGAATCGGTGTGAAACAGGGAGGATGCTCGGGCATGTCTTACACTATGGACTTGGAGAATAGGGCTAACGCAAGACCAGATGACTCGATCATAGAATATGAGGGATTCACGATAGGTAAGTTCGCTTTCTGCTTTCGTGTTATTTGGACCCACCTTTCATTTCTTGATGAACCAGGAGTTAGATCACCGAATTGCTTGATGATGGATCTCCCCTTTTGTATATCTTGTTGTTTACTTCCTCCTTTCTGATTCTGGGCCCTGACATGTCAAAATCTTTCGACATACATCTATAATGATCGATCTTTTTAGTTAAGAAGTTGACTCTTTGGCTTTCAAGTCCGGAAATCCGGCTTGAGAGTGGTAAGGCAGCTGTTGATCGGCGATTGTCGGTGCCCGTTTTGATTTTGTCTCACGGGTTGAGTATCCCTAAAAGAAGGGAGGGCTGGGGGAATGTCTGTAACACGAGGCTAAGAGTATCCCTTTGTGTCTCTGTCTAATGCAGTGTGTGATCCAAAGAGCCTGCTTTTCCTATTCGGCATGCAATTGGATTACAGTGACTCTCTGATAGGAGGAGGTTTCTCTTTCAAGAACCCTAACGCTACACAAACCTGTGGGTGTGGGAAATCCTTTGCTGCTGACATGTGAATGTGACATGCTTCTGTAGAAACTTTGTGCGATCACCTCTGAATTGTCAGCAGTTTGATGCTGTTGTTACTTGTATTTGGAGGGAACGAAACTTACACCTGCAACGAATAATCGATGATATTATGGCGCATTCTTCAGTTGCGGTTTCACCAAAAATTTACGTACAAGAACTGCTATTGTCAAATGTCTTGCCTTGCTGATGGCATGAAAACTCGTTCAGGCCTTCTCCCTGGTTTGATTTGGAGCTTTACCCATCTTTGCTTCCCTTTTTCGTGGATACGTCGAGCCCGTTTTCTCCTCTCTCGCTTCTCGGACTTAAGGGCGTATCCATCCCGCGGGTATCCAAAATTCGGGTAGAATCCAGTCTTCAATTCGAATTCAGGTTCTGTCCGGATCCCTTGTACTAACTAATCTTATTTGTTTATATATTATATATATATAGATATATAAACATTATGCCTAACTTGACCATGTTTAATGAATGATTACTAAAAATGGGGAAGACCTAGTTGACGAATAAAGGAACATATACGAGGAGTGGGTAATGTCCTATATATGCGTAAGAATATCTATTTACATGTCTGATCTTTAAAACAAGATCTGTGGGGAAATCTTCATTTCTTTTTCGGGTGATATTTGTTTTTACCACAAATAATTATGATGAATGCCATATGTTTTGGACACTATTTATATAAATGATAATTTATTGATTACAAAAATCAGCGAAAAAGAAACAATAAAAGAAAGTATGTCCTATAGAACCAAAAAACCTATGACCAATAATAATAGGCTCAGTCCTCTCCACCGGGAACCGCCATTGATGAAGCTTTCAGCTCCACCGCTGGTCTCCCTCCCCCGACTAGAATTCTCCGACGATGCTGTTCCGTCAGGGTTTCCGCCGTACAAATGCTGAATCCCTTCGATGTCATCCTTCGCCAGCTCCACTTTCCGATCTCCTCCGGCGATCGTCGGATACATAATCGCATCTTTCACCGACGAGTGCCCTAAGCCAAGCAAATGCCCGATCTCATGAACCGCCACCGATTCCAGATCCACCAGCGACGTCACCGACAGAATCCTCCGGTTTTCTCCGCCGCCGTCGGAGATCAGCCAGTCCTCGTCGCCGTCGAGGTGGAACATCCCCGTCGGCGGAGAAGACGCGTGCGCAAGCGTTCCCATAGCTCCGTCGAACGGCTCCCCGTCACCGTGGTCGCCGGAGAAGAATCCGATCACTATGTCGGCTCGAAGGAGAGATCCTGAGCGCGTGAATCTCAGCGGCGTTACATTCGCCCAGCGATCGAAGGCGCGTGAGAACACACGTTTCACGTCCTCGGTGAGGTTGTTCTGCGGAACGAAGGCGTAGATGAGATCTCGCTTCCTCGCCGGCCACCTAGGCTTCCCTGGGAAGAACGAGTACCGCTTCGTCGTCCGGATCCGAGCTGCGCCTGCTGTCATCGCCGTCTTTTGGAAACCTTTTCCGGCGTTCATATCGGAGGATCCGTCGATCACATCGGAGTTTCCGCATCTCGGCAGCACGATCTGTCGGAGAGTCGCCGCATCAAGTTCGCCAGTGACTTTGAGGTCGAAGTTCTTCTGGTAGATCCTGATCGCCGATTCGAGTACGTCATCGAAGTCGTCGGTGAAGTTCCCCGTAGCGGCGGTGGTGATGTAGCCGAAGCGACGGAAGTACTGCTTGAGCTTGGAAAGGCCGGACACTCTGTCGCCGGCGTGACAGCCGGCGAGTTTGTGGAAGTAATCCCACGCGCCGCGCGTGGCGTTAAGGATCTGTAGCGGTGGTATAGATGTCACGTTGAGGTAGAATTTGGCTGTGATGGGAGACGCTGTGAGGAAACACAACACTGTTAGAAGCTGAAACCTCATTTTTCCGGAAAAAGTTTTTTTTTGTTTTTTAAAAAAAAAAGAGAGGAAATAGAAGACGAAGATGTGAAACGGCGACGTTTTGTACGGAGTGAAGTGAAGCTTTGCATTACTGAAGAAAATGATCTTAATTTCACGCGGTTACGTTGACTTGTGAATATCCTAATTTGACTGCACCGAAAAAAGACAATTAAAAAATACAAAAGCTTTATTAAAATATTACGCTGCATTGTTAATAAAAAAATGGTCTAACTAGTTTAACCAAAAATAAATCACGTCTTTTTAAAATTTATTGAATAACGTAGTTTATTAAATTCGATTATAAATTTGTAGTTTTTCCATTAATATGGTATATTAATGATTAAGTTTATTGGCATTATTAATGATAAAATTAATAACATTTTTAGAATAATATAAATACTTTTATTTATTAAATAAATAGTAAGATTCAAAATACGAATGATTAATTTGAAAAATGAATAATTTTTATACATTTTTTAAAAATCGGAATTATTTGTAAACTGATGTTCCAAAAGAAATATTTTATTGTTTACTTAAAAAAGTGATTTGTATGGAAACGTTTTTTTTTTCTAATGAATAATGGGTGAATGGGTTACATGGATTAAACCCAACCCATCAATAAATAAGACCCATTAAGTGTATCCATATCCAATTATTAATGGGTTGTGTTACAATAATAACCCATATGGGTGTTGTCCGAAACTGACAAAGCTTAGAAATGTGATTTGATTCTTAGTTAAAGATTTTAGCATTCAAATATATCCCTTGACTGACGTTTTCCTTCAAGAAGGTTTATTCTCTTTATTGGATACTTGAAAATTTTATATTATACGAATATATATTCGGATGTCTTGGATATAAAATTTGAAATCTGATTTTGTATCTAAGAGTTTTAGATATTCGAATTTCGGATATTAAAAGAATAATCAAAATATCTATAAATAGCTAAAGTCAATGTAAGACAATTAAAGATATTTTTTTTAAAAAAGACTACAAAAAGTTTTATAATTTTAATAATAAATATTAGAGCATATTTTAATACAGTTAACAATTTAGATTATACGAACATTGAATATGGAGTTTGTCTTTCTAACAATTTGCTGTATGATATCTTTTATTATTATCCTTAGTTTAATGTTTATATAAATTATATGAACATATTTATCTCTATTTTTTTTTAATATGGATAATAGAAACTCAACCACCTAGAAGAATTTAGTTCATATCTCTGCTTTAGGAAGTATCTATAAAGAAATTTGTATCTCGTCGAGCTAATAAATTTTATTTTATTAACAAAAAAATATATATTTTTTTTCCTTCGTGGATGCATGGAATGGAATACGAAGGCTTTTGCTTAGGTCGCGGAAGAGACCATTGGAAAGGAAAAAGGGGCCTTTTCTAAATAATAGTAAATAATCTTTTTCGGAAAGACAAAGCAAGGAAAAGCAATCTCCAAGATTTGATACGCTGTCTTGACAAAAATTATTAAAATTAAAATAATCGATTGTAATTGAATCCAAATGTAAAATTGAAAAAATAAAAGTAATTTTTTTAATTAAAATTCCAATTTTAAGGATGTCGAACCCGAATATAATTTTTAACTATAAATTATTCGACATAAAATATAAAAATAGTCAACAACAAATATTTTTTTTGTAAAAAAAATATTGTTTTTATTAAAAATCGGATTTTAAATCAAATAATCAAACCCAAAAAAAAAGGGGAAAAGGCTAAGACTTTGAAAAGAAAGGTTTAATGGGTCCCAGTTAGATTACGTTGGGCCCTCACAAGATCCCTAATTTAATGTGGACCTCTTCCATGACTTTGTCCCCTTTCTGATTTGGTCAATTTTGAAATTTGTGTCATTGTAAATCCTCTCACTGTCTGTCTTTTCATTTTTCCACACGTTTTTTTAAGTTTCATAATAAATAAATAAAAACCATTATGATTTTTATTTACACGTTTAATTGAAGATTCCTGTTGTTTTGGTTTGAATGCCAGTTCTACTACATTATATTTACACCTAAGTATCGATACTTTCATTTTCTGTATCCAAATTGGGTCTAGTATAAAATTATAATAAAAGATATCGATTTCATTTTACTTATATCATAAAAATTGTAGATATTTTATCCAAAAAATGTAGATAAAATGATTTGGTCGTATTTGGTTTGGATGAGGTTATATTTTTTTAACACATTTTATATACTTTTTATGAGCAAAAATATATATTTCTTAAACAAGTAATTATTTTAATTAAAATTTTAAAATAAAAATTATAAACAATAGAATCCAATCTAAAATCAAAACAAAACACTAAATACTAATTAAGAATGTTCAAAATAGAGTGGACAAAAATATTTAAAGTTTGGATACGAAAATTGGATATTCATATTTTAACGAGATAGAGATCATATTTAATATGTCTATAATCCAAAATTCGGTTTTGGGTTCATATTCTCGAATTGGATAATTACCCATAGATGTCTAAATAATAATAAAAATAATCAATACATGTATTTATTTATACAACAAAACTATGGTATTATTATACAGTTATTTTGGATTTACATATCTTTTAATAATTTTTTAAATTATTTGTATACAATCTATGAGCTTGTAAGATTTAATTAAAATATATTAAAATATGTCGGGTTCAGATACAAAATTTATCATACTCGGATTTAAATTCGGATATGCTAAAAATTTCGGATACCACCCTACTTCAAAGTGTACAATTGCGGATACCACTCTATTTCGGACAACATTGGCAAGTAATTTTGTACTTATATCTCGCGATACGCATTGTCTCCCCCCAAATCCTTACGGTTCCTTCGTACCTATTTTTTATTTTATTTATTTATTACGATTTATAAACACTATTATCTATCAGAGCAATGGATTCCACGGGATTCTTAGAAATTTCCAATTTCAACCCCAAAACAGAAAAAAAATATCCGATTTTTTTTAATATTCAACAAAAATCGAATACTCAATAAAATAACACACAAAATATTAAATCACCGATAATTAATATATTTTAAATATTTTATTTATAGATATCCGAACATTTAAATTATTTTAAAATATTATAAAATTTTCCATATCTAATACGAAATAATAATAAAAAAAACCCCACCAATTTGCACATAAAATACCAAACATTTTCTCGGGTTTTATCTGCTGGAGAAAAAAAATTTTAAAATCTCTAAAAAGATTTTGTGTAGCGAGAGGTACATAAAGAAAGCTCATAGACAACAGAGGGAGACGTCAGACGATTTGCCGTGTTGTTTGTTTGCTTTTTCTCCTAATAAAATTCTCTCGTCCATCGGAAGCGAGAATTCGGATCGGCTTCGGTGTCGTTCTCAATGGCAGGAGATGGTGGCGTTTCCTGCCTCCGGAGGCCGGAGATAATCGGCGGTTTGGAACCTACGGCGGCGGAGATGGATGAAGTTCACGTTCTCGCCGTCGATGACAGCCTCGTCGATCGGATTGTAATCGAGAAATTGCTTAGGATTACCTCGTGCAAAGGTTTGTTCGAAATCTATTCTTGGAAACGTTTCAGACACTGCTTTTCCGATGTTTTTCGCCGGAGATTCCGAATTTTTCCGGCGATTCGTGCAGTGACTGCGGTCGACAGTGGATGGGGAGCTCTGCAATTCTTAGGGTTAGATGAAGAGAAGAATAGCTCCGGATTTGATGTAAGTCAAGTCCTCGAATTATGCCACATTGTTTGTGTAGAGGAGAGCTTTTTGGGGATTGTGGTTTTTTATGATTTGTGTTTCCAACTTTGGAATTTCAGAAATTGAAGGTTGATCTGATCATCACCGACTACTGTATGCCCGGAATGACCGGCTACGAGCTTCTGAAAAAGATTAAGGTTAGAATCTCCCCGCCGTTCCTCCCCAAATCGAAAAGAAAAATCAAATTCGATTTCTGCATTTTGAGAATTGCCGATTTCTCTCAACAGGAATCGTCAAGTTTCCGTGAAATTCCTGTCGTAATCATGTCGTCAGAGAACGTGTTGGCGCGAATCGACAGGTGAATTTCTAATCAAATAATTTCACATTTGAATCTTGGATCTGATAATGTTCATCCAATCGAAGCTGAAAATTTTTGAATATCCGCAGATGCTTGGAGGAAGGTGCGGAGGATTTCTTGCTTAAACCGGTGAAACTCGCCGACGTGAAACGCCTGAGAAACTACATGACCAAAGACATCAAAGTCCCCAGCGGAAACAAACGAAAGCTTCCAGAAGAATCGGGTCATCTCTCACCTCCTCCACCGCCGCCTTCGCCACCTCCGCCGTCGTCCACGTCACCGGATTCTTCCGATTCCTCTCAACCTCCGTCTCCGGCGGAGATTTTATCCATCTCATCGCCTCCGTCTCCACCAGACGAAGTCTCGCCGTCTACACCGCCGCCTTCTCCGGAGATTTCGCCGCCTCCGGCGGATTCGTCGAGCAGACGGCAGAAGATGACGAGTCCCGGATTAGATTAGAAACGAAAAAATGTGCTTTTCCGGGATCCGTGTAATGTTTTCTCCGTTAACTTTTTCTTTGACGGTTTTTTTCATTCCGGGTTGACGCCGTCAGTTAAATAGATGCTCCCTTTTCCTTAGCTCCCCACGTGTACTTTTTTTTTTACTTTCCTAAAATGTCTAAATTTTATTTATTCCAGTAAAATGTAATGACGGTATTTTAACTAAATGTTCTCTCAGGGTCTCAGACTATAATATAATAAAATATTTATCCGTGTAGATTAAATTATATTAGGAATGTATATGAGTAAATATTTTCATTTCTTTTGGTAATCACGTTTAGATTTGTTTTCGTGGAAGATGAGATTTGGGAGGTGATTTTTATAATAATTTTATGTGGATAGTGTCAGCAATTGATTATTTTATTTTATTTTGTGTCCTATAATGTAAGACATTATAAATTTAATATCATTATATATAAGCCCATTTCATAGTTGGGTCCTAATTATGTTTGTTTAATAGGCAACATGAAAATATCTTCACCACCGCCCTATTTGATTCAACCTTCTGGGAAATTAACAATGTTCTATTTAAAACGAGATTGTCATTAATTTGGTTATAATTTTTAAAATCAAATTAATCAATTTCAAATTGAATATGAAACAAATGTAAAAAGAACCGAAACATTCTGTTTCAATCCAACATATACAGGAAGATATAATTTGGTATTTATAAGATATTTAGTTTCATCAGTATTGTATATACGGTAATAAGATCACAATCTATTTCTATTGTCATTAAAATGATATAGTTAATATTTAAAATAATTTATATAAAATAATATAAACCTTATATATGCATATGTATATATGTACACTGTGTAGAGTTGGAAATGGGTAACATGTGTCCCCTGTGGAAGGGGCAATTCTTTTGTCTTTTTATTTTTTTTGTATCTTTGATTTTGATATGCTCTTCTGGCAATTATACCTTAAAGGCCATCCCATTCCCTGCAGTTCACCGTCCACTATATGCTTACGGACAATCAAAGATTTGCTGAGTTGTTTCCCGTTTTGGAATTTGCATATTTAAATAAATAAATAAATAATTATTGAACATGCAGTTTGTGTTTTATATTTTAGCAACTTTATATCCTTTTTTTGGTGCCTTTTTCAAATTTTTCAATCGGAATTATCCTTAGTAATTGATTGATATATAAATATCTCTTTATAGAAAACAATGGAGTATTTGTGTTTGGTTTCGATCCTTAATATATTAACATGTTTAAAAGCAAAAAATCAAACATAAAATATTTTTTATAAAAATAATCTTTTTATTGAACAATGCAGATAATTCTAGATTTAAAAAAAATTAGATTGATTCAATTTTAAGACCGGTTTGAAAAGACATAGTATTTTTTTTTTTCTTAATATTTTCAGACAAATATTCATAGGTTTGTAAATTGTTTTCGAATTTTAAAAAAAAAAACAAGATGGAATAATATCATATGATACATTCGTGCAATAGAGAAAAACATTACCCTAAACCCACATCGCACAGCACGTAACGTATCTCAATATAAATATGGATTTAGATGCAATGTATAATATTATTGAAGACAACAAAATCAGCTTCCCAAGATCCTCCCACGTTTGGCCTTCAATCATCATTTTCCTTTTAATTTTCTTTCCCAATAAAATACAAATGTATTCGAAATTGTATGTGATTTTAAAAATATTAGTTATAACTGTTTAAAAATGATTAAATTTATAGAATTATTTAAAATAAAAAATAGTTTTAAAAATTTAAACATATATATATATATATATATATATATATTTAGAAAATTAGAGTCTTTTATTGATTTTTTTTAAAAAACTAAATAATCGTAATTTTATAAAACTAATCTAGAAATAATCCAATCGAATGTAAATATAAAAATAAACCATATGAGTTCAAATTGATGCAGAATAATACGATTACGAGTTCTAGATTTAATTACGATTTACATATATAATTATTCTCATAAATTAAAATCAATTATAGTTGGCAGTATTGTCGTTTGTGTGTGTGTGTGAATATATATATATATATATTGTATTTTGCATTTAGTATAATTTCTGTTTGTTGAGAATTATTTTCTAATGTATACGTAGATCCATTTGGTCCTCATAATATTTAATGGGCTTATTTTGTAATTTGCATATATTTTGTTAGTGGCCCAATAATAGATTATGTAATGAACCAACCAAAGTAAAGTCATGGGCTAACAATGTTCGGACCATATCGGCAAATTATCCACGTCATTATGAAGTCAGAATCAAACACATCTTTTCTTATCATTTGTATATTTAATTAAAAGTAACATATTTGTAACTAATCATATGAATTTACAAAACCATAACAGGGACCTCAAATAATCTGAAATCACTGGTGATTTATTTTCAAATCTAAAAAAAAATTATTTTTTTTAAAAAATATGTATATTAGATTTTCAAATTTCGCAAACTAGTTCACCATAAAGACAAGGGTGTTTTCGTAATTTCTGCCGATTCAGACCACTGAACGCAGCCTCTACGCGTTTGACGGACCTTTTGTTCTCTCATTGACTCGTAAAGATTCAAAAGTAATTTTCCAGTTTTCAATAATTTGTACAAAAAATTATCATCTTCTAAGAAACAATCTCGAGGTTCGCCGGGAAACTTCGAAATCCTCCGGCTGCCGGCGATTCTTTCCTCCGGTGAACTACCCCGGCACCATGTCGTTCCTCTTCCGTAAGAACGGGAGCTCGCGGCGGCGCCGAATTAGAGACAAGCTTCGCGGCCGGAGCTCCGACAATAAAGAAGTCGATAGATTCCACCGCGACAGCGATGGATCAGGTTCTTCGCCGCGACGGCCGCCTCCGTCTCCGTGGGGGTTTCTATTTCCCGATGATTTTGTTCGGATTGATGGGAACCTTAAGGCAGTTATCGTTGATGAGGACGGATTGGATGTGATTTACTGGAGAAGACTTCTGGAGCTCGAAAACGGCGGGAAAATTAGAAACCCTAATGGTAGAAATGGAGCGACAGGAACAGGGGAACGAGATGAAGGAGAAGAAGTAGAAGTAGAAGAGATCGATGCGGGTTTGAACAGAAGATCGCGTCGTCGAGACAAGAGAGATGAGCCAGTCCGAGAGGGTTCTTCGTTCCCTCCGAGAGAATCTGATTCATCTTCTTCGAGTGGTGAAATTCGAGACTATAATATTTATGGAAGAAGACACTCTTCTTCTGCTTCTGCTACGGCGTCCATGGCTTCTACCAGCACTATGGGTAACTATGGTATCAGTGGAAAATCCAAATCTAAAACTCAAGTTGAGAAATTCGCTCCGCCGTCGCAGATGTTGCCGACCCAATACAGCGGCGGTCCTTCGCCGCTATATATGTACACTGTGTAGAGTTGGAAATGGGTAACATGTGTCCCCTGTGGAAGGGGCAATTCTTTTGTCTTTTTATTTTTTTTGTATCTTTGATTTTGATATGCTCTTCTGGCAATTATACCTTAAAGGCCATCCCATTCCCTGCAGTTCACCGTCCACTATATGCTTACGGACAATCAAAGATTTGCTGAGTTGTTTCCCGTTTTGGAATTTGCATATTTAAATAAATACATAAATAATTATTGAACATGCAGTTTGTGTTTTATATTTTAGCAACTTTATATCCTTTTTTTGGTGCCTTTTTCAAATTTTTCAATCGGAATTATCCTTAGTAATTGATTGATATATAAATATCTCTTTATAGAAAACAATGGAGTATTTGTGTTTGGTTTCGATCCTTAATATATTAACATGTTTAAAAGCAAAAAATCAAACATAAAATATTTTTTATAAAAATAATCTTTTTATTGAACAATGCAGATAATTCTAGATTTAAAAAAAATTAGATTGATTCAATTTTAAGACCGGTTTGAAAAGACATAGTATTTTTTTTTTTCTTAATATTTTCAGACAAATATTCATAGGTTTGTAAATTGTTTTCGAATTTTAAAAAAAAAAAACTTGCTTCGGATATAAAACTTTGAGTATTCAAAGATGCTCGAGTTATTCCCGCCAGCAGCTGTGCCGCGACCGCCTCCGCCGCCAGCAGCTGTGCCGCGACCGCCTCCGCCGCCAGCAGCTGTGCCGCGGCCGCCTCCTCCGCCAACAGCTGTGCCGCGGCCGCCTCCTCCGCCGGCTGCTGGGCCGCGGACGCCTCCTCCACCAGCAGCTGGGCCACCACCGCCTCCGCCTCTAATCCCGGGCAAGAAAGGACCTGCACCGCCATTGAAGAGTGGACCTTCAATCTGACGTCTCTGAGAAAACTGTTTGAGGTGAAGAGCATGGATGGCAAATCTACATTGCTTCACTTTGTTGTTGAAGAAGTTGTCCGGTCTGAGGGCAAGCGAGCTGCAGTGAGTAAGAATGGAGGCAGCATCAGTGAGAATGTCGATGCCTCTGAGAAGGAATATATAAAACTAGGGTTACCGATTGTAGGAGGACTTAGTTCAGAGTTCACCAATGTAAAGAAAGCAGCTGGGATAGACCACGATGGATTTGCAGCCAATGGCTTAGCTTTAAGCGCGCGTGTTAGGGAGATGAGACAGCTTTTAGATCATAGCAAAGGAAAAGAAGATGGGTTCCTGACAAAGTTGAGATCTTTTCTTGAATCTGCAGAGGAAGAACTGAAAATGGTCACAGAGGAGCAAGCCAGAGTTATGGAGTTTGTGAAGACAACTACAAATTACTACCAAGCTCGAGCATCGAAAGACAAGAACCCTTTTCATATATTTGTTATAATCCGCGATTTCTTGGGAATGGTTGATAAAGTCTGCAGTGAGATTTCCAAGAACCAGAGAAAGAAAGAGGCAGAAGCAGGTGGAAAACCGACTCCGAACTCTGCAGCACAAAGGAATGCGGTTAGATTCCCGATTCTGCCGCCCAATTTCAAGACCGAGCATTCAAGGGGCGGTTCTAGCGATTCAGATTCAGATTCCTGATACAAACCCCAGGTAGGATTTTCACAACCCAAATAATGCAATAGAAAATGAAAGAGAACGGTTGTTTCCTTTGTGTATATGAAAGAAGTAGAATTTTGTTGGGAAAATGAAATCCTTAGGTTCCTGAAGAAAGGTTCTTTTCTAATTTTGTCGGTTTTTTTTATTTTTATTTTTGTGTGAACTTTTTGGTTCCATTTTTTTTTTAATCTCAAAGACAAGCATCTCTTTGTTCTTGTGTCCCCAAACGTTACAGGCAAAAACTTCATTTGAAGGACCCAATCATCGTATGGTGTCAATTCTATTTGGCGTTTGACACCAAACGCAGCCTTGTGAGGTTTAGAAACCGAGAATAGGGCGAAAGAACTTTCGTTATAGATGAATAAAGTTTTTTTCTTAAAAAAAATGAATAAACTACTGAAAGAATGAATTATGGATCTCCCAACTTTGGCACTGCCCTTAAAAAAAACTCTAAACAAGACACCAAAATTGGCCATATGAGATCCAAGAATAAGTTCAATTCAACAACTGCTCCTCTGTGCTCTAAGCCAAAAATCTCACGAGAAACTTGGGCACCTGAAAAAACAAAACCTCGCGAACATTCATGTGATGAAAATGAAGTACGTGCATGGGCATTCACTTATAGGGGGGCTTGATATCTGTAAGAGTATTATTATTATTATTATTATTATTGTAATATATATGTATATATATATATATATAGGATTTAACCTAGATTCCTTGTATATTCTCTCTATACATAGGTTGTAATACATAGAAGAAATTTACCTATCATCGTATGAGAGAGCCCAATGACCACTCGTATTACGTTGTACCTATCATGTCCTTTGGGTGTCTTAACCTAAAGCTACTTGCATACTTTCTCTGTATATATATAAGTTGTACAATATATTAGTTGCAAACACATAAGAAAACATTTACCTCTCATATCAAGGCAAGGCAAGCATTCTGCAGTTGAGCAATATGCGCAAATGCGCGATTCTTCTTAGTCTGGCGATTCCACCGTTACTGGAAGTCTTGGAAATGTTAAGGCAAGACCCATCTGGGTTCGTTCTCCTTCTCTTGCTTCTATACAGAAGATCTTCCGTCTCTGGTCCGTACCTGACCTATATAACCCAAGAACAATCCGAAAATTACCAAACTAGATATTTACCGAGACTTGAATGTAGGAGGGGGAGAATAAAAAACGAATTAAGTTTCACAAGATGTACCTTGGAATTACTGCAAGTTATCCTACACTCCACACCATTAATAATTTTCACTCCTTCCATTGCCCGAGATGTTTCCGAAGATTCATTGCTGTCAACTAATTTCCGTTTATTCCTGCATGGAGCATGGATAAGCAACGTTACTACCCGATAATAGAAATGAGAATACGTTCTATACTGCTTTATTTACCTCTTCAGAAATAGTCCGGACCTCTCTTCATCAGATATGAGCCACAGCAAGTCATTCTGCAGGTAATGTGCAAAACTCGGTTCGACAGTTACGGAAGTAACTTCAGGCCTATCTCGCACACTGTTCATCAGCTGAATTGAGAGGCAGGTTTGTGTCGACAACTGCATTCAATTTCAAACATATCACAAAGATGAGGAATTTGACTTGACAGATTAGTTGTAAACCATACTTGAGATCAAGAGAGACCTACATATTCAATTCGATATATACTCTGATCATGGAAGAGAGCACGGACATTCTCATGGTAAACTGCATCGAAGAATCTTCCAGGCTTTCTATAATTCTCGTATGTGTACAATTGCAGAAGCTTGGTGTCTGTCTCGTCGGTGGCAACTGCATGAAGCTGAAGCATAGACCAATCAACGGAAAGCAAAGGGGAAGAGTCAAGAGAGTAAAAAGAGAAAATAACTTGCAGGAACAAGAGAACAGCACATTAAAAGCTTACATGCTTAACAAACTTCTGAACTAGTTTGTCCAATGTGAAAAGAACATATGATTGCGCTCCAATAATCGATCGGCATTCATCCTCAAACTTTGTATTATCACTAGAGCCGTCGAGTAAACTATAGAAGGCATCCATGAACCTAGAAACAACATGCTTCCAAAAATTTAGCAACAAATTTTCTCACTTCAAAAGTATTATGCTAAAGAAAGATCACCTGGCATAAGAATCGGAAGGAGTTGTGTTATCTGGGGCCTTCCATTTCCTTTGCGAATGTATCTTTGCTGATTGTATTCTCTCGTATAACATCTGAAAAATCAGCAGAAAGTTACTAGTATCGAAGAGAACTACCATGTTAGGGAATGCCAAAAGTTTAGTTTCATGTGGTCCTTACTTGATGAAGCCTAAAAAGCACATAGAAGGAATCATTTGCATAAAATACTCGAGAATCAGTCCCGGCGCCACTTGTACTATCTTGCAGTGTTGCAGATACATATTTTACAAGGGGCTTCACAGGTTGCAGAAAGCGATCTGAAAATGGTGATGGAGGACCATCTTCACCGTCATGGGCATTAGTCCCCTCAACATCCTCGTTTTCACTTACACACACATTATCATGTTCATCATGGTTCACAGCTCCTTCATGCTCTTCAGGGGAAGCATTGTCACCACCCAACTTAGTTCTTGAAGCAATAATAATCCCAGTGGCATTCTGATTATTTTCCAGTGACTCATGAGTAGTATCATTGTTCTCATTGGCATCCTTTGCTCCAGCTTCAGTGCAGCATGCTCCTTCACATCTTTGTTCACATCTTTGTTGGTATGCATTGCATTTTGCATCATCAGTGACTTTCTGCACTGGCTCAAGGCCACTCTCTCCGCAAGCCTCAAAACTGTCTTGCTCAAAACTTTCAGTTGGAGATAATTCACCCTCTTCTCGCTCGATCTTATGTTCTCTCACTAGTGTTTCGTTAAGGCCACGATTCTTTAAGCCTTCTGTTATTGGAACATTGCTGGTGGAAACCAGTGCTGAAGACTGACCATCCTGATGAACCATGAACAAAATACATCCGCTTAGAAGGAATATATATAGGAGGAAAATCTTTAAAAAAATGTCTTAACTATATCCCACTTGACCAGTCTTGATTGCCCCTATCAAGGCATTAATTTGATACACGTGGAAAGTGACGCTAAATCTAGTTTTATTAGATTTTAATCACTATGTCATCATGACTTTATATTTTTAAGATGCTTTGACTGCATTAACTGAATAAGAAATGGATGCAGCCTCAGTTTAAGAACAGGGCCACCGATAGACCAGGTTAAGGAGGAACCTCATTAGTCATAACCGCATCACCCTGCACCTTATCCCGTTGAGCAGCTTCTCCCATACGAACTGACACATCCCGATCAAGAGAGCCCTGTTGCTTTATTGGATTTTCTTTGGCTGATTTCCTTGGAGATATTGAATGTTTAGAGTTTGACGTAGAAGAACTTTCACGAGGGTTATCCTCCTTCAATCCTGCACATGCATCATGCCGTTCTGGGTTTTGTTCTTTGGACTTGACAGCTACTGTGACCGTCTCATTACCTTGAGGCTTGGAAGGAATACCAAACATGGGCTCCAAGAAAGTTATCCATATTTTCATTACTTTATCTGACTGTTCGGTTGCAGATATCTGTTCACAATAATACTTGATCAGCTGATACAAGTCTTCATGAATTTGCGGATCAGTATAACTGAACTCCAGATCCGGGGTCAAAGAGTGCATTGCCCCAGCAGTAAAATTATGAAGCATGTCATCTTTATGCTTCTTATCATTGATATCTTTTATCTCTGCCACTAAACCTGCATTTGAGGAAATAAATAGATAATGGCATTTCAGTAAAAAAAATATAGCTTTACAGAAGGAAAGTTTTGCTCAATGCATTCTCAAATCCCAATCCACAATTCAGAACATATAAAACTCTCGTTCTATACTTCACCCTCTATTCCACAACATTATGACGCCTCTAAATTCAGTAAACCGCATTTGAGCATTCATGTTTTCTTCAATCCAGTTCGGGACAAAATTTGGTAATGAATAGCCATCTAGAATACCATGTAAATAAATGTGTAGCTAAGGAAACGTCCATAGTTATCATCAAACCTAAAATGGGCTAGTGATCTTACACACAATGAACTTAACCTTCGAGGAAAATGATCTAAAAACATACCTTTTGTACTTAGATTCTTAGTATCCTGCTGCTTGAAATAGAAACTACGATGATCTAGTGATTTTTGGTGGTTCTTGGCATATACTTCAGCCCATACTTTCTTGAAATCAGAACGACACCTCGCCCACTCTTCTTGCTTCTGCTTCAAGCGAGTTAATATCACCGGCAAAGCAATATGAGCATTCTTCTTCAAAAATTCCATGACATCAAGCCCATAGTCACCATATAACCGCTCAATGCATCTTAGGTTTAGAGCTACAAATACAGTAAAGTGGAAAGATATTAGTCCTAATTAAAAGAGAATAGTCAAATGTATCACATAACTAGATTTCTTCAAGACTGGCAGTTTACCTGTTAAATGTTCTCTGATACATATTGGAGTCTCTATAGAGATTGTGTTGTTGTTGATCTTCTCCAGAAGAGTTTCCACACACTTGATGGCTGCGTTTACGGACTCTAGCAACATATCCAGCTCAAACCTGAAAGCACGTAAGGCAATGTCAATTTATCTGATGGAATCAGGAAAAAAAATACGAGAAGTTATCTCGCCAGATGCCACAAAAGAAACGCCGACTCTGCAGACGATCTAACTTCAAATCTAAGAGAAATTAGAAGGGGCAATCTCAACCAGATAGAAGTAAGATGACCAGGAACCAATACCAATAAAACATAGTGGAATTTGTGTTGTTTAAATCTACAGTAAGAAGAAAAATATAAGAACCTATTATTCTGCATTGTTTATATCTACAGATGAATGTCAAAATTTGTTATCAAAACAGAAGAGTCTACCACCTGTCATCCTCGCACCGAAAGAGGCTTTCTTCATACTGGTTTTTCCGCATATGTTTAAATGAGTAATCCTCACTCCCTGAGGTGACTGATACCCAGTGATCATTAAGTACCTTGTCGCCAATTTCATTTCTGTGGCTTGGAATCTGGATGGGATACTGCATGGGCCAAGGCCCAACCATATGAATGATGAGTCTAACTGCAACATAATGCTGCACCAAAATTGCCATATGGTGGCAAAATATCATAAAAGAGAGCGAGGGACTCACATTATCTGGCAAGAACCTATAACTGGGAGTACATTGTGCACAGTCGGAGAGATCAAGTTCATTGATTGGTTTTGCCACATGCTTGCTAGTCAACAATGGAATTTTGTGACTTGCGATATCTTTACTTCCAGAAGCTGCACTTCTCTCAGTTCTATCATTGTCAAGATCTCTTTGTTGATCCCCATTATTTCCAGGTTCTCGAATCCATCCGTTTTCCTCTATCTTTAAACACCTAGACCATTGTCCTTCATTAACAATTGATTCTGCAAATATGAACAACTTGACCCTTAGATCCAACAGAAAGCTACAAATCACTTAAAACAAAACAGAGGCCAAACAAACCATGATCCAGATGAGGATAATCTGGATAGGTCTCAAAGATAAAAAAGCATTTATTCTTTTATCTCTAAGTAATCTGAACATCAATTCATAGAATAAAGATATTCCCAAAGTTGAATAATAGAAGTGCTAAGAATAAAACTGTAACAGAACATCAAATACTTACTTCCCAGAGAATTCCCCGAGCATGCCACAATGTTCTCGTCACCCGCTTCTCCTTGATCAGAGGGTTCTGAACAATCCTCAGCCTTACATAGTGGTCTAGTTTTCTGTGGCATGTTAGTGTATGTATCAGTATCTCACTCAACAGTTTAATTCATTGAGTTCTCTACATCTTCCCTTTTCTCCTTCATCCCTCTGCCATTTGCTTCACCAGACTGCCTATGTTTCCCTTTTTCTTTACATATCAGAACTACATCCCAGCCCATGCAAGTTGTCAACAGTGGTTCGACACTCAGGATGCAAGATACAATGCAGGTTTTCTAACAATAATGCCCATAAGAGGATTACTAACTAATTGGTAAAAGATGACAATGTCTTTCAGAAAGATAAATAAGGGAAACCTTTTCAGAAAGCTTTTGATGCATGGGGGGCATCGCTGAACTCCTATCACGTGATGCTGCATTCCTTCCAGAAAGAGGAAAATACGAAGCAGTAGATCCTGAAGAATCAGGCAAAAAATAAGCAAACTCCTCAAGCAGATCTTCATGGTCCTGGAATAACAAAGTAACCTACAGAAAATATTTTAATCAGAGAAACTTATTAGTAAGATCAAGATGATTCCACAGAAAGATTTCATGAGGCAGAGTGGCAGAGTAAATCAGAATTCATTGAATAGATAACAAACAAACCTCTTGATAGACCTCAGAGATGGACTTGCTTTCCTTTCTATACATGTTCAAGATGTCTAGAAATGATTTGTATGAACGGTCATCATCTTGGAACCTTGCCTGCAGGATTACAAATCAAGCGATATTATAGCATTAAAAAAATCAAGATCACCTTAATAATTCATCAACCACATCAGAAATGTACCTTAATCTTGGTAACAAAATTAATAGCTTCTCCAAAATCCGCTGGTTTCTTACGCCGTTCTTCATCAAGTGGAAGGGTAATTTCATACCCCATGGGCAAGAAGGTATTAAAACCTAAAAGTAGTTCATGATAATCCTTGAACAAATCCTTCACTCTTGCTATAACACCATTAGTATCAATCCTACGACCAAGATAACATATCAAGAATTTAGGCATTCCACTGTAACATCCACAATGAAGACCTGAAACTCGAAGAAAGAGTGCAAACACACCTCTGTGCTTTGAAATCCTTCATGACTTCGAGAAAGGTGTCATATTTCTCTTTCTTGTCTTGAAACTTGTCCTTCACAGCTTTGAGATACGAGAGAGCATCACTTGTAGTTAGCCTTCCCATATTTCCTACTGCTCCCCTCATCATCTGAGGCTGCCCATTGCTGCATTGCTCAAGCAGACATCAAATCCATTCCAACATTTAGATACTGAAAATCAAACCAGTGTTTCCCCTCATTGACCCACAATCTCAGAACCAATTCTGCTTAGCTATGAAAGCAAACCCACCAAGGAGCATTACTTTCCTCAACGTTCAAAACATCAGAAACAATTCTACAGAATCTACACATCAAAATACATTCAACCATAAACCCAACTAATATCCCCAACAACATTGTAAGCGTGAGATGTGAAAAAAAAAAACCCAAACTGCTGAAAATTTAATCATTATAAGACATGAACGAAAAAAGGCATAATAAGAGGTTTTTTTTTCTTCGTGTTTCTTGCACATATGCGAAATCAAGCAAGAGAAAAAGAGCATGAGAGCGGAAGCTTACGTTTCTCCTCGAGATGAAACCGCAGGCCTCTGTACCTGGGCTGCCATGTAAACCTCGTCTCTATCTCCCTTCATCTCTCCTCCTTATTTTCTCGGAAAAGAAAAAAACTGTCTTCAGCAGCCAAACAAGCTCGGAACCCTGAGAATCATGGAGACTTCAAAAGGTTATTGAAAAACAAACGGGATTTATCGCAGATAAAAAACAAAAACGAGATCTAACACCCAAAAAAAATCAAAGAAATGGACGAGAAAACAACAGAGAAGGAGAGTTTGATCTTCAAACCTTGTGGACCAGATCACATTACTCGACCACCACAACCGAACTTCAACGTTCCTTCAGAATTAAATAAAAAGCGCCGAGGGGGAGATGATTATGACGGAGAGAAGATCGGAGAGCCGCCGGAGTTTTCGCCGGTGAAAGAGAGAAGAATATCCACAGAGAAGCAAACAAGCTTCGCCCTTGTAGCCCCCAGAACAACAAAAAAAAAAATCGACCGCTAAAAAAAAGTACGATAAATCTCTCTCTCTCTCTCTCTGGTTTGGCAGCCGAAGAGGTTAATGCAATGCTCAAGCAACAAGGAGATTGTATATATTCCCTATATATAGGGTATATATGCATATATATACACGCATATATGTGCAATGTAGTGGGATGTTTATGAGAACAAACCTGCTGAGTCAAAGGGAGGGAACAAGATGGGAAATTTCTTGGTCAAATTAGGGCACAACTAGGTTTTTTTTAATGTAAGATGCAAGTTCTTTTGTGTGAATTAAATTTTTTTGCAGAATTTAATTATTTTAGATTTTACAAAAATAATTAATTATTTTAATAAAAAATATTTAGTTAGTTTGAAAAATTGTATTTAAATCACAAACTGGTTCTTTTTTTTCCAAATTGTATTTTTATTTAAAACATTTAATTGTTGGATCAGTGAAAACTGGAAGTTTTTTTTTGCAGTTTTAGTTTTGAAATTTAAAGATAAAATATTTTGTTTTCTTAATCCAACACTCTTCAGCAAGACATATACATATATATATAAAACTGATAAAATATTTTTTTTTGTTTTTATATTTTACTAATAAAAATTACAAATAGATTATATATATATATATGACTTATAGATAAATTCGTGTCTATATTATATGTGTGTACGTAAGCAATCATCTTCATTTTTATGGATAAAAGGAAAGGGCGAGACAACCAAATTTTGTAATAATTTATAGATCATATATATATATATATAATCTATTTGTAATTTTTATTAGTAAAATATAAAAACAAAAAAAAAAACAAAAATTCGGTCCAATCGATCGGATCGGATTGCATTGATCCGCGATTTACAATGAATTGGAATTGTTTTCTGACCGAATTTTAAAAGACTCGCTTTAATATTTGGATAAATACAATAAAATATACAAATCATAAAAAATTCTAAACAAACAAAACTTTTTCTTTATCATTCATCTGAATTATTCTTTTAATTCTATTCAAAATAATTAATGTTAATTTTTAATAAAAATATATATAATTATGAAAAAAATATTATAATATACAAAGATTTCTTTTATATAAATACACCAAAAATTGATATAAATATATAAAATTAGAATATTATCTGATTTCAAAATAATAAAAAAGTGAAGACATATTTATATAAAAAAACTCTTCTATTTATTTAAAACTTCTAAGAACCGTATATTACATAGAATTTTACTCGAATATAAATATATTTGCTATTCAAATTGATAAGTATATAAATATAAATACTTAACAATATTTATCTTTGGTTTTAATTAGATAATCGATCGATAGAATAAAGTATATCATTTCTAAAACTAGGGGTGGAAAAAAAATACTTGAAAATGAAACACACAAATCATAAAGATTGGATTCAGTTGATACACTCAATATTCGCAAATTTTTTTTGGTTTCTGCATCACTATTCTTTTTTAGCTTTCTTTTAGCTCTTTTTTTTTTGTAAATGTGGAAATTTGGAAAACAAGGGGAACCCAAAAAAAAAAAAAAAGAAGATAATGATTTGGTGAAGAGATCCAAGAGAGCGATCAAAACTCAAATTCTGTACATTGGAGCTTTAATATTTGTCCTTCCAACAAAAATCATACAAGTAACAAAGGGGTGTATAACATCGCTAAAGGCAAAATATAACATCGGCATAAAGAAAAACCGAACAAAACATAGAAATCTAATAAAAAAAAACATGCATAATAACAACCACCACCAATAACTCCTAAGGTCTCTATATATTCAACTAAGGGGCCTAAACCCTAAACCCCAAAAAAAGGAAAGGGAAAAACCGTTTCCAATGGGTGGAAATGAATCCCTAAATGTACAACACCAGCTTTTAGAGTCATAACCCTCAGTTCTTCTTGGGGGTCTTAGGACGAGACCTCATGCTAGCTCTCCGAGCCACGTCCCAAGCCTTCTGCGGGGCATAGATCCCTAACTGAGATGCAAAGAAGGACTCGTAGCCGGGGGAGTCGAAGGCGAACCCAGTGTGCTTCGATATCTCCCGAGGCAATTGCGATATCGCGTAGCTTCTCGCTTCCTCGGGAGAGAGCTCGTTCCCTATCTCCAGCTGATGGTCCCCTTTGCTACTCTCCGGCTCGTGCCTATGGATCTCTTGTACTATCTGATAATCATATGGGCTGAACCATCTCTCCACCCTGACATCCATACGCAAAAAAAGATACCCGATAAAAAATAAATAAGGGCGGGCACTCGGGTTCGATTATACATAAACTGAACTCATCCAAACGAAAAAACACATTAATGTAGCCGATGAAGTGAATTTGATATAAATATCAAATGGGTATGCTTTTTTCTAAAACCGAAAAACTGAACCTGGCTCCCAGCCGAAAATAAAATAACCAAGAAAACCAAAAATTCTTAAAAAAGAATGAACACTTTTATCACTAAATCGGAACACCGGAAAATTCTTCGGAAAATGAGCATTTTTATCATTAAAACCTGAACGTGAACCAAACCCAATAAAATATAAAAACTGAATGGATATAGGTTTGGTAATATATAAAAAATTAAAGAAACTGAATCGGAACCTGAACCGAGAACCGAAATATCCACCCATAAAAAAGATTTATTGAGACATTAAAGTCTCAAACGTTGATGGTTATGAGCAGATTGAATGAAAGTGTTTTCAACTCACTTACCCTTGGAAGATGAAATCACCTAGAAGAGCAGCAACAGGAACAAGCAGGATTGTGAAGTAGAAATAAAATGTACTCATCAGGACGTATATGACGAAGTATACATTCTCCTGCGTGTAAAATAAAACAAAAAACGAGAAAAAATCAAGTTCCCGGGCAGAACGATTGTGAAGAATGAACGGATGGGGAAATAATAGCTTACGTTTCTATCACGAGGCGTCATAATCCCGCAATATACAAAAGCGAAAATGAGCCAGGCCGCAATGCTACCTCCAACAGTGATATAATGCCATCTCGTGATCGAGTTGCTCATCATAAGAATCCGAAGATTAACGGCTATTACCAGACACGTGAATACAATCGTGCTCACGTCCCAAAGGCCAAACACTCTGCCCGATGAATTCTTACCACCAAAAGCCGAGGCCGTTACGAAGTGGTAGCAAACCAGAGATTGATACACAGCCGAAGCAGCCCATATCGCCACAACTCTCCATTTGAAAAAGGAATTACGTATTCCCTCTCTGTAGAGTTCTGGGTACCGTTTCGAAAGGGATGCACTCACATCCTAGCGAAAGGCAAAATTCGGTATTTGAGTTCTTGGGTTTATTTAAAATGGATATTCCTTTATGTTAAACTAAAAAAAGATGGAGGAAGGTCGGAAGAACCTTCTCAAAGAGCCCGAGAACAATCACGGGAAGAGCTGTGAATACGACATTATACAATGACTGGAACCAATCATCGTAGAACCTTTGACCCGAAAATCCAGTTCGAAATGTGAACCAGAATTGAGTCAAAGTGAAGGTCAGATTCTTGTAGAAGAAATACATGACAACCTGCCAAACGAAATATAATCAACAATTTTTTTTTTTAAAAGTTAAGAGCCGAAAGAGAAAGCAGACCTTGCAGATTCTAAGATATGACCACCGGCCATGGACGAGGAGCAGATCCGTAAGAAATCTAAACTGTGCAATGGCAAAATCACTAGCCATCACAGCTTGCATTCCCTCCATCCCACTAATCCCTACCCCGACATGAGCAGCTTGGATCATGCTAACATCGTTGGCCCCATCACCAATACTAAGTGTAATCTTTTTCGCGCCTTTCCTCACCAAGCTAGTCACCTATTAAAAAAATAACATGAGTGGATGGATGACAGTTATTAGAATTTACAAGTAAATTGGAAGAACATTAAGATCAAGTCACTCGGCTTTGAATTATACTTCCAGAATCAAGTAAAAGTATAAGTTCCACGAGAAAGAAAGAAAGACGATATCGAAAAGCACTCATTTTTTAAGACAACATATGTTTTGGAACTCTTAGTGGGGCCAAGAGAAAAATAAAGGAAAAAAGACATCTGAAAATTTTACCTGTGCCTTTTGTAAAGGAGAAACCCGGCAACATACAACTGAAGAACAGTTCAAGCTCAAGCTGAGAAGTGTTATGCGTAAACTTGGGTCCAATGCATGCATCAAACACTTTCCATCAATAATGAGAGCCATTTTTGGTCCAGCTACTGTATGCATATAGTGTTGAGCTTCTTCCAAGCTCTTCTTCAACTCCTTCTTGACTTCCTCCTTTATAACACGTGCAATCTCGACTTGGTCGCCCTAGTTTTCCATACATATAAGCACTTAGCATGATTATATCCATAACGATATTCTACAAGATAAAATGTAGAATAAACACTTACCCTTTCTTCAGCTTCCCTGATTGCATCAGTTTCCGAACTGATGATAAACTGTTTCATCTCATTATTTATCAAGTTGCATGCTGCAGCATATGCATATCAATGGGCAGGACGTTAAATTGGGAGAATAGAAAAGCAAAAGCAAGAGCAAAAGTTTGTCTTTGTGAAGCACTCACCATATGCTATATTGATTGCTGTTTCCATCTTGTCTCCTGTTAGCACCCAAATCTTAATTCCAGCTCTCGATAAGGTCTCGATGCAGCTAGGTACCCCTTCCTGAAGCTTGTCTTCTATTGCAGTTGATCCGATCAAAATAAGATCCTTCTCAATAAGTTCCGCTGCCTGCATGGGTCATGATTCTTTGTTTCATCCAGCTAAAAAAATAAGATCCCACCTAGCAACTCAAAAGTCATGCTAAGACATGCAACCATCATAGCTGCTCTACAATGAATATAGCTGACTCTGAAATTTTATTGCTCTGGACCTCTGGCAAGTCAATGTTTACTTTTGCAAATTTCATAAGTCATTTACTCTTGAGAATGTAACCACGAGCTTTGTGAACCAACAACAAGTTCGATATATAATTATACCTCATCCAACTTCTTCTCACGATCTCGTAAAGCAGACTTGGCCTGGATGAATTTTTCATTCCAACTTTCATAAGCTTCAGGATTTAAATCTTTGTAGGCCAAGCAAAGGGTACGCAATCCAGAAGCTCCAAATTGTTCCAAATGTTCTCTTGTTACTTTCTTTACATCATCCATGCCATTAGCCAATCTCTCAAAGATTACAGTGTCAGCACCCTGGGGAAATTGTCCCAAGCAACTGTCAGTTATTATCTGGAAGTATATATATAGAGACCAATCAAGTACCTAAAGAACTGTTACCTTACAGTAGAGCACAAGCCTCCCATCTGGAAAACGGCATACAACAGACTGGCGCTTCCTTGTACTGTTAATGCACGGTTCAGAATCTTGTTAGTATACTTAATCATCCCAACGAGATACAAGATGATAACATTTCACAGACACATATACCTGTTGAACTCAAGAACATTAAGAATCTCATAAGCTACATCTTGGATCTTTCCCATCTTCTCCACATGAGACTCGCGAACATACACCATAGTTGGAGTGCGCCTGAAAATACACGAAACTAATCTTAAACAAACTAACAGACTTGAGACACAATACAAACCTTTATCACTGTACAACCAAAAAATATATAAAACCACAACAAAGCTAGTGATCATGGAGCCAGTTGACTAACTGAGATCCAATTTTTGTCAGATTGTCTGTGTTTTCAACTTTTCTTTCTAAACTAAAAGGTAAACAGGAATAACCTGTAGAAGAAGAATCCAAAATTCTTGGCAGCAGTAACTAAAGCAGCTTCATCAGGGGATGCAGCTTGATAGACAACCTTCTCTGGGGACTCATCACCTTCAGGAAGTACCGTGTGACAAATGGCCAGGCATCTAAAAAATTCCTAATAGATTAAAAAGTACAAAAACTAAAAGTTAAAATCAATTGTTATGACACATACAGCTTATAATTTCTTAGCTATTGCAATTCTTAACAGCTTAGAATTTCTTATACCGAATGAGAGCCAAACCTATAGAATAAGAAAATAAGATACCTTGCAAAGATCTGGATTCGCTTCATTTCTCCAAGCGCCCCGCATAAGCCTCGGATCATCGAAATTAAATCCCTTTTCTCTTATTGCACCAGTCGACTTTTGCTCCTGCAATTTTTTTTTCCGCAAGGCAACATAGAATCATCTGGCATCGTACTTAATTGCATGAAGGAACATCCTCATCTGGAAAGTAATTATACCTCTTGGACTTTTAACCCATTTCGCTGAGCGATTCCTCTTTCTATTTCAGTGACACCAGTCCCATAACTTGTTCCTCCAATTGAACATTTAAAGAATTCCATCAAGTTTCTCGTCAGAGTTCCAGTTTTGTCAGAAAATATGTATTCCACCTGACAAATACCAATAAACAGTAATTTGTACCTCTGGCAGTGAGATCACAACAAATATACCTCAGGTGATACTCGATTAATAACATTACATATACAGCTATATCATATAAGTGGCAATGCCCAGCATGGATCAGAAGTTTACCTGTCCAAGTTCCTCATTTAAATTGGAAGTCCTGGCCAAAGCAGGGGTATTTGTCTCAGCATGATACATATGCAGATCTTGATTGATAAACTGGGTAGACTGAATAAACTTGATCATCTGGATTCTCATTTGAGAAGGAAACACAGGAACCATTCAAAACACTCATACGTACTATGCAAGATAAACGAAGTTAAACAATGATACTAGAAAGGACATACCTCAATAGAAACATAAAGAGAGATCGGTATAATTGTTGAGAATAGAGTGACTAGAGTGAAAAAAGTGAAAAACGCTATCTGTAACACCAATAGAAGCAGTACAGTGAGAAGTAGCAAAAGACCATGAAGTAAATCAACTTCAACTATGCCAGGTTATTTACCATCAAAGCGTTACGGTATTCCCAATCCTTTTCATGAAGACCCAAATAATAATGATCACGATCTGTCACAATTGCACTGCAAAATTAAACAACATCATGTAAGTTTATCAAAGCGAGAGAGGCAGTGGAATCAGACTAAAATGTTACAATCAAAAACAGCATAGGTTAAACAACAAAATTGGCGAAAAAAAACCCACCAGCCTATAGCTCCAATCAGGCACATCGTGACAAGGGCACAAAAGATTGTAATAATGAGTTTATCAAGTTTCTTCTCCAATGTACTTCTTTTAGAAGGAGCATTCATGGCATTCATCATTACCTAAATGCATTGCATTCACCATAAGATTCAGATTCTGTGTGTTGCAGTTATACAAGGAATCAGACACGGAAAACGTGAATAGGAAGGGAAGTGGGACCATAAATTCTGCATGCTACCCAGTTCCTGTAAATTTTGCAAAGCTGATTTTCTCACAACATACCTTTGTTTCATGACCAGTGAAAATTACAGCCCCAACAATGTATTCTGTGTTCCTAAGACTACATCCCTGAAAAAAAAAAGAGTTGGCTTAAATCAATGTAGAATACTGAAAAGTTCAACAAAGCCAAAAAAAAACATAAGAGGGAGTGGAAAATATGCAAGTAAAAATAAATTAGAGAAATGAAATAAAGTCTTGCACATTTTGAGTGAAAGAAAGTTCAGTGCTGTGGAAAATTCACACACGATGAAATGCTGCATCCATATAACTACAAAAGGAGTGCACGACTAAAAGCAGATGCAGTCAACCATACTCGCAATAAAAGCTGATTTGGAGAGAGAGGTAATGTCTGCTTTTGCACTATAAGGTTTCCCGTGAAAGTGTACAGAGAATTGTTTGGTTGCTCACACTGAACTTCACCTGCATGGTAAAAATAGAAATATTGGAGTATGCAAAACTTTAAGAGCTAAAAAAAATCCTATATTGAGTTTAAAAGTCCTTAGGTAAAATGAAAGGCCATAGATTCAAAAGAAAGAAAGAAAGAAAAAAGAACTGATGCTGGATATATTTAGAGAAAAAATGGATTAGGGACAATATAATGCCAGCCTCCAATTAATAATGTTACCAGCACACAAACATTGACACATCCACCACATACCAGAATTTAACACATGGTAACAAAATTACTTTACAAAATTTTCTATTCTAGTACAACAAACAACCGTAACCTCCAACCCCTGAGAGAGCCAGAAAAACATCTAAAGCAAATGAGAAAGTGGATGCAACTGAGACTCCTTTGCTACATAAGTTTTGCCGACAGTTAAATACATACAGAAAAATGCGAAGAAACTAGAATGTAACATAAGGCATGTAATAAAGGATAGAAGTGTCAGAAACACCTCATACTAACTAGCTGCAGTCAAGGTTTTTCTTTTATTTCTTCTTTTTCCCTAAGAACGCTTCATCTATGATGATTGTAATTACAAACCAAATTACATGAAAGCGCCGACTTTAGTTGCAGTCTAGTATATAAGAATTAAGATGGTCTATACACTGTAAAGAGTCATGTAAGAAAATGCATGTAAGATCATATCTCAAAGCCTTCTCCATTTGATCACATTTCACCATTATTCCCCCCCCCCCCCCCCCCCCAAAAA